AAAATCTTTGAAACAACACAAACTTCCTTGCTTTGGACGGGAAAGGTTTGGTGTTGACCAGCTCGACTAGTTCATTCCATATTATCAGGGCGCAATCGTATTTGTATGTGTATACAATTCTGTGGAAGAACTTGAGAAATGAACTGCTGCAGGTATCGATTCCGGCAATCTTTGATGTCAGGCATCGGTTGAGAATCGAAAACAGAAGATGCCATATTGACGGAAGAAATCGCCGTTTGAACTGCGACGGATTAGTCAACTCTTGCGAGTATCCTAATCTCTTGATATCTCTGCAAAGTTCGTCATCGGTGACTAGTGGTTCAAAACCTGTCGAGCCCGGTCCCGGTAGATATAAAATTCTTCGAGGTCGTTTCAATGTCAAACGACTTATGTATTCGTCTACGTTTCCTTCAAAGAAATAGGTATCACCATCTTTGGCAAGGGTTAGCGTCTTCCAAAATTATCGTAGGTAAATCATCAGGACACAAGCGTAAGCTGAAAGGGCATAAGAAATTGTGTGTCCACGAAGGATTTCTGGTATAATTCGGTATTCGGAGGCATTTCGAAGTTGAAGTGGTGATTATTGGGTTTGATTTCAAGAAAGAAACATTAGGGTAATAAGGATTCTTCGGGTATTGGGTTGTTTGTAGGCTGGTTTGCGTTGTTTATGTTGTCAGATCTGACAGAATGAATATGTGATTCCTCGTCAGACTGATTATGTTGTTTAGCCATTTGTACCTGTAAAAATTCCCGAAATATTAGATTCAGACTAAAAAATACAATGTTAATTTCCAAAAATCAAAACAAAATATATCTAATTTTTTTAAAAAACTTAAAAAAATCGAACAAAAAAGAATAAAACCTAAACTAAAAACTATTATTAGAATAAAAAACTAAACCTTATTCAGATCTGAAACAGATTATTAACCAAGCGATTTAAGCAAATTTATTCAAATTTTATCATTAAGTCCAAAATTCGATTAATTTTCATTATAAGGTTCGATTAGAGTAACAGTCCAAGAATAGTCCAAATATATGAAATGAGTCCAAATGATTATCAATAAGAACCTTAGAGTTAGAGATGAAGAGAAACAGGAACTCGATTTGAAATATGTGAAGAACACAAGCGGTTTAGGTAGCCGGAGAAGATGATGAATAGTGTTGATTGAAGAAGATGAAAGTAAAAAAGTGAAAGGTAAATCGAACGAGTATTTATAAGAAGGATAAAAAACCGTTCAACTTCTAATCCGCTCAAAGCTTATCCGGATTAAGATAAATCAGACAAAGGATGTCCGATTTAGAATATGCTCAAACAACAAAGTCATAAATCGGATGATAAATCGCTCAAGGCACAAACGATTTAGACAAATATCGCTCAAGAGTCAATCGACTTACAAGGAAATCGCTCAAAGGATAAGCGATATAAACATAAATCGCTCACGGAACAAGCGATTTAGACACTTAAAACGCACAAACAGATCAAGCAATTTATGAATCCGAACAATAATATCAAACGATTTAGAAAATCGCACAACTCCTTGGAATTATATGTAATCTTATCCGGATAAGTGTTTATCGAATAACTTTTTGTCCGGATTAGCCTAAATCGGACACTGCTTTGTCGGGATATGTAATAAATCAGACAATGTGTTGTCCGAATTAGTCTAAATCGGCCAAACACTTATTCTTTTAAACTCTTAAATCTTTCAAAAATTAGATATTATTCAATAACATGTAAGAAAAATTTAAACCAGTTAGTATATACAGATATTTTTTCTCCCCCTCAAAATATGAATCAATTAAAATACAGATAAAATTTCACACTCCCCCTCAAATATAGATTTCCACGATCAAAGAATTTAAAATCACATAAAATATGAATCAATTAAAATATTTTTTCTCGTTCTTCTAATCAGTATTATCAAGGGTATGTTATCGGATGACCCAATAATTCTTCTAACATTAAAAGCATATGGGTTAAAAAATCTGAATCTTTTTCATCATGTACTCCTGTTGTTTCTAATCATCTTCCTTGTTTTGTAAGATCTACAACTGATTTGATTCATCTTAGCAAGAGAAGAATCATGTGCTCCACATGCAAATCAACAGATTTTGTAAACAAGAAGACATCCAACAGATGGAGTACAGACAACACATATCAAAAGGACTGGAAAGGGAAGAACAAGTATGATTATAATAACTGGTATGGATCATATTATGTATATAATCATCCTGTTAATAGTGCTAAAAAGAAAACATCTACTAGAAATAAATGGTTTGGAAGTTACAACATACCCCAGCCCGATACTAACAAAATAGGACCCAAATTYAWTTGGGTAYCAAAATCTATTTGATCTAATTTTGCAGGTGTGTCAAGTTTGCGCTGATCAGAATATCATTTATTTGATACACTAATGCAGGGGGAGTTGTACACTGTCGAACAGAGGCTTCTGAATACATCAGTTTAGAACCCGTGCTTTACCGATTTGAGCTTAACTGAAATATTACTATAATCTACTTTCTAGGAGGAGTCTCTAGAGTATATTTTCTAAACAGGTGTTTCCTGAGATTTTACTTGTATAATTTCTCATCATACATAACTCCAATACTTGTTTCAGCTATTCTTCAAACTCTTATTATCACATCTCTTATATAAATCATTTTCGGTGATAATACACTCGTTTGTATTCAAAGGTTGTTTTTCTATTTTTTTTCTTTGAATGATATACATTTCATTTTTTTAATCAGAATCTGTAAACTCGTTCTTACAGATCTTCATTCATTTCTCTCGCATACCGAATAATCTGATCGTTGTCGCATCATTCCTTTATTGATTGTGCATAAAAGCCAAATTTCTTGATCAATTTTTATCTGATCATTGTGCTTATCTCCAATAATATTTTTGAACAACTGTTTGTGATCAACTGTGCATAATGCTAAATTTTAGGAAGGACTGAGTGCTTATCATAAATACCTCTATGGAATGTCAGAACCGACAAACCTACCCATGAGGACAACCATATCTGAGTGAGATTTATATACAAAAGGGTTTGTGTGCAGAGCTTAAAATAAAAAAGAGAGGGGTAGTTGTTGTGAGCTAAAAGAATTGACGAGAGATGTGTCAGGATCAAAAGAATAAACAAGATCATGTTCCAAACTTCAAAATACCAAGCATACCATGTATTCTATTAGTTCTCAATTCTTTCGAGACAAGTATTGAAAAAGGCAAAGCCCATGCCAATTCTTGTCACAACCCCACCAGCTACTCATTTATCTCTTAACAAATAAGTGTTTCAATAACACTTGGGGCACGCAGCTCATCATCTATCAATTTCTCATTCGGAGAAAGTTGATATTGAATCAGAAGGATATATGTCCCCCCCTTCAAGTCTTTTTGATCACTAATTGAGTCTAATAAATTTGTGTAGTCCATACGGTTTATCTTTCTGAGCCTAAACAGAAGCATTAGTTGCTTTATCTTTTTACACTACACAGATTTTGCATTTTATATGTTATTTTGCCAAAACATTCATAGATATGCTATTATTAAGCTATCGATGATTGAATGGAAGACCTGGTGAGATAAGCATAAAAAAGTCTCATATATACAGTACATTCGTTGTACTGAGTATATTTGTTATGCTCACAGGCCAATCTTTTTATAAGATTGAAAACAATTTCATATGTTGAAATTGGTTGTTAACTTCCCATTCCCTTTAATCTAAAAAGATTAAACAAGTGGATTTGAAAAGATCTACTTAGATTTTCATGAATTGACGGTTTTCGCGGAAAATTTCATTCATTCTTGTGTATGATGTAATGATTCTCATTTCATCATAAGGGGGAGTATGTAATAATGAATGAAATGTCCAATTTCGAACTTTATAAGGGGAATTTGTTATAAAGATCAAAGGGGAGTAACAACAAAGATCGGCAAAGAATTAAAAGGAGTGCGACTGGAGATTATCACAAAAGATTATTTCGATGCTACAATGTTTGAGAGTTGTTGAATGTGAAGATTAATTTTACAACAGTTTGCGGAAGATCAATTCTGAAGATCGTTATTGTTTCTAATCAATATTGTCAAAAGAGAAGATCATCGCGGTTCTACATTCGCGGGGAGAATGTTAAAAGATCTTTCTCAAACAAACGACTGTCAGAAGATTTCGAGTTGAAGTTTTTTTTTAAGAAGACATAGTGTGCTTAAAGCAACAAAGTTCAAACGAGACTAAAAAGGCGCAAATTCTTTCAAGTCTGAATACAAAGGGGGAGAATGTTTGGACTGAAAGTTAGTATAAAACTATATTCTTCTTGAAAGTTAATTTTGTCTATAATTGTTAAAAGTCACCGTGTTTGACTTTTCGTAGATAGTTTGACTTTGACCTTTATAGTTTTCTTTGACCCTATATAAAGGGTAAATCCTTGTAATTTTAGTAGGATTCTTAGATTGTAATATCAGTTACGTAAATAAGAAGATTGACCAAGATTTGGGTGTTGACCTTTTCCCTCTTTTCTCATATGTTCTTTAATGAAATATCAAGATCTTCCATCGATGAATTGAAGCTTTCATGAAGATTGATTAAAGTGGGAACAACAAGGGACCGACTACTTGGAGTTTTAGCACAGCTTTGTCACATTTATTCCAAAAATTGTATGAAGTTTTTTGTTTTCTTGAATATAAGCTATGTTTACAGTTAGGTTTTGATGTGGAATTTTTTTTAATTTGAGGTCTGAGACTACGTTGTTGCTAAGTTATTGCCTCAGAATTGTGATTCTCCATGCTACATCGTGCAAGTACACAAATAGTATATATATATATATATATATTATATTGGAGTGATCAAATGCAAACCACCTGAAAATATTTAGGATCTCTTATTTTCTGTGTATTGAGTACAAGAGAGGCAAATATATAAACACAAATACAACAAACTAACCAAAAATAAAAGAGAGAAAGAAGGGGATAAGTATGGAATGGATTTGGTTTCTAATACTCCCCCTCAAGATGGAGCGTGAAGATCACGAACGCCTATCTTGCCTAAAAGAAAGCGGAAGCGTTCAGCTCCAAGAGCTTTGATGCAGATGTCTGCCACCTGATGCTTCGTGTCTATGTATAAGGGTTCTATCTCATTAGACTCGACTCTTTCACGTATGAAGTAACAATCCATTTCTACGTGTTTGGTGCATTCATGAAAAACTGGGTTATTTGCGATTTGTCGGGCTGCATTGTTGTCACAATATAGTGGTGTGGGTCCGACAGGGGCAGCCTCATGGTCGTGTAAAAGCCAACACAACCATAGGATCTCACTCACAGTAGTAGCCATGGTGCGATATTCAGCTTCGGCCGACGATCTAGAGACAACTGACTGCTTCTTTGTTCGCCAAGGTACCAGAGCTTCTCCTAAGAAAATCAAATAACAAGTGCGGGAGCATCGCGTGAAGGAACAACCCGACCAGTCAGCATCACAAAAATCCTTAAGGCTCAGATCACCGTCTTTAGGTAGGAGAATTCCTTGGCCAGGGGTCGATTTCAAGTATCGTAACACTCTAATGGCAGAATCCATATGCCTTTTACATGGGTTTGCCAGGAATTGACTGAGCATATTGACCGCAAAAGCAATGTCCGGACACGTTACTTGTAAATACAACAATCTCCCAATCAGTCGTCGATATTGTGCAACATCAACTGGTGGACTATCGATGGCTTCGTCCAGATGGAGATTTTGCTCCATTGGGGAGGGGTTGGGCCGACAACCATGCTGACCACTATCTTTCAAAATATCAAACATGTATTTCTGTTGGCTCAACACTAGTCCCTCATTAGTACGAGCCACCTCGATTCCCAAGAAATACTTCAAAGGCCCCAAGTCTTTGATGCTAAAACGATTGTTAAGGTGTCTCTTTACGTCATGGATCTTTGCATCATTATTTCCCACCATGATGACATCATCGACGTATATGAGAGCCGCTACATACATCATTCCTTCTCTGTATGTGAAGAGGAACAGATCTGCATGAGATTGCTGAAAACCGATATCCGCAAGCTATTTCGTGAACTTGTGGTAGCAATTGCGAGAGGCCTGTCGCAATCCGTAAAGAGATTTCCGCAAGCGGCAGACTCTTGTGTCTCCTTTCTTGGCAAAACCTTGACGAATCTTCATGTAAACCTCCCCATCTAAGTCACCATGTAGAAAAGCATTATTCACATCTAACTGGTGAATGGTCCAGTTTTTTGTGGCTGCCACCGCAAGTAAGCTATGCATGATTACACGTTTAGCGACGAGGGCGAATGTCTCGTGGAAATTGACTCCTTCAAGTTGTGTGAACCCTTTCGCGACTAGACTCGCCTTAAATCGTTCGACCTCTCCGGTAGGTTTATATTTGACCTTGTAAACCCATTTTGAATCGATGGCACGTTTTCCTAGAGCCAGCGTCTTGAGTGTCCATGTTACATTTTCTTCTAAAGTCTTTATCTCTTTTTGCATGGATTCTCTCCATCAAGCATCTTTAACTGCATGGTGGAAGTATTTGGGCTCATCATGCCCAGTGATGGCCGCTAAAAAAAGCCTTGTGAGAAAAAGAAAACTTTTCATAAGAGACGAAGTGAGTTAGAGGATGTACCGTCGAGGAGTCCCGTGTAGGCGTGGGTTGCGGATGGTCTATAGATGGTGGTAAGTCGGTTTCAAAATCACCAAATCGCCTTGACTTAGTTCTTATTCTTTCGTGTCGATTGTTAACTCCTGTCTGGCTAACATTCTCATCCGGTGTCTCATCAACTTGACTCGGTTAATTTTGTGCTTCTGAATTGCCCCCCCGAGCAGTGTTTCTTGAGTTTCCGTTGATTTTGAGGGATCACATGTGGGGGCAGGCAATGTTTCTTCATAGTTACCATGCTTCTCTTCAAAAGGTGGTATGTCGCATGTGACCACAGTACCTTCATGCGATTGGGAATTTTTTATTTTAATGGTCTTAAAAGGGAAATGGTCCTTCACAAACCTTGTGTCTCTTGACACCGTGAATTTTTTGTCGACGAGGTCATAGACATGATATCCCTTTTGTCCTTGTGGGTACCCAACAAAAATGCAAGGCCTCCCCCTTGCTTCAAACTTATCTCTCCATGTTTTATTATTTTTCACATACACTAGACACCGAAAAACATGCATGTGTTCATATATCGGTTTTCTTTTAAATAAAAGTTCGTATAGGGTTTTGTTGTCAATGACTTCTGATGGCAACCTATTTATGATGTAGGTAGCCGTTGTGACACATTCTCCCCAGAAAAAGATGGGTAACTTGGCCTCAAATCTTAAGGCTCTGGCTACTTCAAGTATATGCTTATGCTTCCTTTCAACCACCTCGTTTTGTTGAGGGGTGTAGGCACAAGTGGTCTCTAAAACAATGCCATACTCATCATAAAAACCCGTCATCGAGTTAGAGGTGAACTCGCTTCCGTTGTCACTTCTTATTCTCTTAACGACTTTTCCAAACTGTGTTTTAGTCATTTTGCAAAAGTTCATCAAACATTCACTTGCATCGGACTTGTCTTTGATCAAAAAGGTCCAAATTGCTCTACTGTAGTCATCCACAATAGATAAAAAATATCAAGCCCCAGAGGAAGAAGGGACCCAATAGCATCCCCAAATATCACAATGTATCAAGTCAAAGCAATCCACAGTTTTAATTGAGCTAAGCGGAAAAGACAATTTGGTTTGTTTTTGCTTTAACGCAAGAATCACAAACTTTATCGTTTAAACTATTTATTGAATTACCAATAAAATCAATCTCCTTGAGTTTTGAGTTTGAGGCGTGACCCAACCTCTTGTGCCAAACTTTTGCGTCTACTGAAGCCATCATCACCACTCTTTTCTTCGTCACCGACTCCACATAGTATAGATCATCGCTGCATTTACCCGTGCCAATCAGGGTCCTCGAGGGTAAGTCCTGCATAACACAAAAATCCGGAAAGAATGTCATGAAACAGTTTAATTCCTTGGTCATTCAGCTGACTGACAGTAAATTGCATTCAAATTTCGGGATATGTAGGACTTTTCTTATCTTCAAACCGTTTGGCAAAACGAAATTTCCAATGCCTTCAACAGGTATAACTTCACCATTAGGGATAGCAATAGGTATCCCATTGGTGCGTTTCTTTCTTTCTAGCAACAGGTTATCGTTACACGCTATGTGTTCAGTGGCACCTGTGTCGATGACCCATGTTTTACTTAAATTTAAATTACCGGTCATGTTCATGTTGGACATAGATGTCTTTGAAGGTGTGTTGTCTTGGTCAGAAAAGTGTTTGACCAACATTGCGTATTGTTCTGTTGTCAAACTTGGTATGGGACTCGATTTCATGGCAAGAATTTGTGTCTTTATAGTACCAAAGTGCTCGTCTAATCCCATTAGAAATTCATACAAGTGTTCTTTGTCCTTGGCTTTCGTCAATCTCTTTCCGACCTCACAGACACATTTTCCACAGGTGCAGTTTGGCATGGGTGAAACCGACTGGATCTCATCCCATAATCCTCGCATCTTGGTGTAATACGCTAATACGGAGGTTTTGTCTTGACGAGTTAAGGTGAGGGCCTGTTTCTCATGTGCACGTGGTGTACATTCTTTCCCGAATCGTTCCTTCAAGTCATTCCAAATCTGTTCCGCCGTAGCGTATTTTACGCTATTCCTGATTTCTTTCTCCATGGCTGTAGTAAGCCATCCCTTGATCATAACAACGCAACGTCTCCAAATCATCAGATTTGGTGGCGTTGCTCCTGGTACTGGTATCGTCCCGTTAATGAAACCAACCTTGTTCTTTGCGAAGAGGAAATTCTCCATCTCCTGTGACCAATCAACGTAATTGTTATCATTCAGCGGTTCGTTCTCATGCCTCTGTCGGGGATAATCAGAGGCATGTATGTAGTAGGCTGAATTTGGGTCGACTTGGGGTAGGGTCGTGCCATCTTTCTCGGCGATAGGTCCTGCCATGGTGAGGAGGCAGAATTAACGGCTGCTTTAGGGTTTGAGACGGGATTGTGTTAATTCCTGCTCTGATACCAAGAAAATATTTGGGATCTCTTATTTTCTGTGTATTGAGGAGTATAAGAGAGGCAAATATATATACACAAATACAACGAACTAACCAAAAATAAAAGAGAGAAAGAAGGGGATAAGTATGGAATGGATTTGGTTTCCAATACTACCCAACTTGTACAAACCGTGCAAACCACCCTCATCCGGCGATTTCATTGTTTAATCTTATGAAAAAATTTCATGAAATTGTTTTATCTTGTGAAATTGTTATATATAATACTTTTTTTATGAAATTGTTTCATATATGATTATGAAATTGTTTCATATAATACTTAATAAAATTTTAATGAAATTGTTTCATGTATTTCTCTAAAATTAAAATAATGAAGATAATAATATTCATGATTAACACCCTCCACAATAAAAATGATTAATCAACCTCTCATTATTACAAAAAAATGAACAAAATGAAAAATTATGATTGATTGAATGAGGTTTACACGGTTTGTACAAACTGAGTGAATTGCATTTGATCGCTCATATATATATATATATATATATATATATATATATATATGGGATGTTACATTTACAAAACATGCAATTCTGACAAACTTTACAAACATCGTTCTATAATCAAAAAAATATCTGATTTCATTTTGTTTCATAATTCAAAGCCATGAGTATGACGACCGAACCTTATCATCTTCCATATATATGTCAATCCTAATTAATGAATCATGATAATTGTCCATAAATATCTCAATTGTTTATTAAAATAATGGTTTATATGGTTTGTAAGAATTACAAAGTTTGTATTTGAAATGACCCCTATATATATGGTTTGTATTAAGAAATACATTGTTTCTTAATTGAATATGATATACTTAAGATTCAAGAAGTATGAATAAGTTTAACAAACGGTTGACGATAAAAAAAAATTATAAATAAACTAGAGAAAACAATATATTCAAGGTTAGAAGAATCTTTTGATATACCAAAGTATCACCCCACTAACCTGATCAACCCATATAATTTATGTTGCACTTTGGTTTGGATTAGATTGAATTGAAACCGTAAACATTTAAAAAAACAATAAAAATAACATATATTAAAATAATAAACAAATGAGGTCACAACCACGACCAAGGGGAATAAGGGATTAGGAAATATCACCGGATTACTTTTTACATTCCTTTTTCTTGGCACAACAATTATCTTTATTGGTCTTCTAACTTCATCTTTTTATGTTTATGCTTCAAAGCATTTTTGAAGTCTTTCCAACCCGGTAAATGAGACAACTTGAAATGAATCACAAATCATCATGAATAATAAGTCGAAGCTTAAACCATGCATGATTGGTTTTGTGTCAACAATTTTATAATCCAAGAATGGACCGACCACAAATTTCTTTGATCTCACATCTTCGTCTTGCTTTTTTTTTCCAACACAGCTCCTTGGTCGTTGTAAGCTTGCAATATACATTGTAGAGGATGTTGTCCAAACCATAGTTATGACTAAAAAAATGTACTTTTGAATAGGGGTGGATCCAAACCATCAACAACGACATAACTTCATGATTATACTTAATTGTAAACACTTATCCAACTTTCTAAGGTTAAATAATCACATGGTGATTCACTGCAATTAAATTTCTTTTAAAACAAGCAACAAACAAGACATGTCCAAGAAATGAAGAAACCATACTTTCTACACACTTTGCTTACGGTTTTAACCTCACTCTAAGGGGCCGTTTACCAAATACTTACCCGGTAAGTGCTTATCGGTAAAATTTAACACTACTATTTACTTATTGGGTAAGATTTTAGTCCACCAAAACGACATTGCTTGTAAAAATTTACACGGTAAGCACTTACCGTGGTAAGAGTCGTTGCTTTCACTTACCGGGTAGGATTCTTGGTCCTTGTCTCGCTCTTACCGGGTAAGATTC